ACTCAGTAATGATTGTACAGTTGAGCTCTGTATGAGATGTGGAGTTCCACAACTATGATTTACCAAGGCATTGTGCCAGGCACTATTTATAGTATATAAGATTTTAGACACACCATTATTACACTTTGCACCAAAATAATTAAGCGTGGGCATTCTTGTATTGGGTTCCGGCTTAATCTTCCTATGGCAACTTTCTTTCCTCATTGACACCTAAAACTTTCAGTTTTACCAAAACTGTAGTCAGAAGTAGTTGCTGGCTAGTGTTAGGAGGTGAACCTTTACCGGAGCAGCCGGATATAATATAACATACGATGAAGACGGCACTCAGTTTATTGATAGTCCGGTTTGCGTCTGAGACTCAGCAGTAAGTTAACCTGAGAGTGTCCTACGCTTCTCTGGTATCCCATATTCAGTGGGTGTGAGTCTGCCAGTTCAAGTAGTACATAAAAATTTGGAGTCAGTGCACGGATCTGCCGTTGACATGGGATGCACTGGTCCACTAACAGTTACTAATGGAGGTACAACATGTGGCTTTCAAGGGAATGGTGCCATCAGCTATCTGATTGATGGTATATCTCCAACTATTAATACAAGTATCTCAGACTGGGCATCTCAGCTAGTGACAGTGGGGATACCACAGAGGAGTCAGCGAATGTGTCGTCCTGATATGTATTACCCTAATGTTCTGCTGACATTTGGCGTTGACACAGCTGTGTCTCTAACTAGAATTAAGGTGGACATGTTCATCTGTGCTGACTGGAAAATCGGTACTCCATCTATCACAGTACATGTTAATCAGGACTACAACTTAGTTTTCACTTCTACTCTCTCACATTTGTGGGGAGATCACACTATTTTATCATGTGACTCTCTGTCAACTGTCAACATTTCTAGATACCCACTCACACCAGATATAATTATACTACCCATAACTCTACATCCATCATACAACTCTCCAACCATCATACATCCACCATCCAGGGGTGTTCATAGACTACTATGGAGGAGAGGCAGAGAGCCACATAGTCTAGTACTCTGCTCGACTCTACTTTGTCTGCAAGGAAGGCACCACGCTGGAGGGCCAAACACTGGAACATGTCAAAGACATGCACTTACACTACAAACATTCTCTTTAACACTCTAAGTATGCGTGCTAAACCACACCTCAGCTATATATATATAGCTCTGTTGGTTCACTGTGCTAGTGAACACAAGGCTGTTGTAAACATTGTGTTTGAGATTCGGAATAATAAATTTTGAGTATGTATAATGTACATATAAGGTGTAGAGTTCAGGTATGTGCAAAGTAAGCACTTCTAGTCGTTGGGTCAGAAATGATTACTGCTGTGGCCATATTTCTTGTGGCTTTTCTTGCGATCCGTCTTAGTTCAGAGCAGGATTGCCAGAGAGGCAAGTTCATACAGTAGCAGTGACTGGTAATGGTATAAAACCTGTGTACAGTTCTTTCACTGATTCAAGAAGTTGATACTACAACATCTCCAGTGGCATACAATGGTATTGAGCCAGACACAACAGGCTGTGGAGTTCGTCCAAGGCTTCTGGAGTGTGGAGCAGGAGAAGGAGTGTTGAGTGATGGAGACATTGGACCTACAGACTCAGTGGATGTCAGTGATCAAGACCAGGTCACCAGGTTCTTTGTCTGGCATCGAGACAATGGCTCTGTGGGACTCTCTTTCACTGCCACTAATGTCTCTACTGTGTCCTACGTTGAAGTCCACTTCTTGAGTCTTCCCTCTGCAAAAATAGGACCACCTGAGACTACTAGAATTGCTATCACTCTACCAGGAATAGGGGATACTTTCATCCCTCTGAGCTGTTCTTTCTCCTCCTCTACCAATACATTGACCAGGAATACATTCACTCTACCACAGAATCCTGATAATTTAGAGATTCGATTCGATTTCAACCAAGACACTGACTGGCTGTTCATCAGTGAAATACAACTGTGTGCAGGAGATCCTCCATCTTCCATCTCTTGTGGCTCTCCCACCACTGACCCCGTACCAACCTCCTCCCCTCCCCCCTCTCCCACCCCTCCCTCCCTCACTCTCTCCTCTCCCCCACCCACTGGAGCCACAGAGAGCCCTGACCTGGGCCAGCCTGACTCTGTCAGTCTCACTTGCTCTGTGGCCAGTCCTCCTACTGGTGACTATCAATACCAGTGGCAGTGGTGGAGGAATGGGACACAACTGAGCAACACTGACACTCGATTCTCTATCACACACTCCACCAACACTCAGTCCAGTAGTCTAGTCATATCTGGTCTCAGATATTCTGATGCAGGAGACTACATGTGTACAGTGGAGTATGGAGCATGTCCTGATGGAGTGGATTGCAGTGGAACCACACCAGTCACTGGAAACATACGTCTCGACCTTCCATGTAATGAATTAGTAGTGGCTTTAGGGTAGTGTTAGGTAATAAAGTCGTGGTGCTTTTGTTTTTTTAACGATGCATGCCACATGTGTAGGCAGCTATATACAAAGGAGGCTAGAACCAGTTTGTATGATGACTGAGAGTAAGATCAAAGGAATTCCAGCTAGTCCAAACAACGTACACGCGTAGTGAGCGCTTCCTGCTGAGTTTACGGGTAGTTATACCATAAAGAGGCCATACGATTTCCCCATACTTTAGCTGTATGTCTACTAATTTGCATAAACCACAATGGGTATATGGTAGTTATACGATAGTAGGAAATTGGCAGCGTGTTATGCAATTAGGGGGCTTTTACACTCTTTGTGTGATGCTGTTTCTTTACCAGAAGGGAGTGTTTTCAGGCTGGAATGGCCAGAAACTGCTCTAGTATATACGCGGTCTGAAAACTAGCTAAAAACTGCTTCCCGACGCGTAGGCTCCCGTAGACTGGAACAGTATGTGACTTTCAGCTTTCTTGCTACTGCAGAGAGCGCCGGGTATAGCGGGAGAGAAAGCGAGCCAGAGCGGCAGCTACAAAACTCGTGTGGAGTGCAGCAGCGAAAGCGACGTACCTGTAGCTGTAACGTTGAACTCTCGAAAAAATGACCATGGCTTCTGCACAACCGCCCAGCTTGACCAAACTAAAGCGCTTATTGCAGCTGTCTCTCCGCTCTCCCGATCGTTCGCCAGCTAGCTCCGTACACTCGAGTGTACCGGGTGTGCGTTAAAAAGAGGGCGTTTTGAAAGCTTTTGCGCAATCTCATTGGTCAGAGCCTTACCGTGGGATGTCATCATACAAACACGTTATACGATGGCTTTGCTTGTGGTTTACTGGTTGTACACTCGTGGCTTCAGTTTTGATAGACCACTCGGGCTACGCCCTCGTGCCCTATCAAAACTGGCCACTCGTGTAAAACCAGTAAACCACGCGCCGCCATCGTATAACCTATACGTAAACATCAGTTAGTGTGCTTCTTTTGGTTAAACACACAATCATGCAGAGCTTTCAGTGTCTATTCCTCTTTACAGTAAAAGTGGAGGTAAAGTCCTCAGGACTGGTGGTGAGAGAAGGAAGTGAGGTGATTGTTCTGACATGTGAGGTGTATGGCTATCCTCGAGACTCCTCACCTCCCAAGTGGAGCTCTCCTGGGAGAAACCTGGAGACTGGCAGATTCATCACTACTCTCAGTGACACTGGTCCCCTGAGTGGTGGCAGTGTGTCCTCCACTGACAAGGTCACTGTGTCTCAACTCACTATCTACTGTGCATCTGAGACAGACAATGGAGAGTACACATGTTCAGTGGATGGGGAGTCAACTTCTTTCCGTGTTGATCTAGGTAAGTTGCTATTCGTAGCTATTAGCTACCTCCACATTCACCAAAGAAGTTGTTCTATGTAGGTAACTCAGAAACAGGAGCCGACAGCAATGGTAAGCTACAAGAACACCCACTGTAGACTGAAAATGTCCCACAATCACTCTCCCACAGAGTCTCTGACTGGTGCAGTGGTGGGACTGGCTGTATTGCTCCTCGTCTCAGTGACTATCAACCTACTGTTAGCTGCCCACTGGATGTACACACTGAGAGGGAGGGGAACAAAGAGTGGTGGAGAGGGTCCTGGGAACCAGGAACAGCTGTATGAGGTGGTCGATGGTGATCAGCAACTCAATGCAGCACGAGATGAGGTCTCTCTGAAAACCAATGTGGCTTACGGGAAGATTAGCACCCAGAACACGACCTCTGCACCAAACACTGCACTTTGACTCAGATTTGTACTAACATTCATGCGTGTATGTTATAAGGATGTGATGTCACCATATAATTTTGTGTGTTACCCATAGTAGCATGTTTGTTAAAGTGTGGTTCTCCTGTTCTTCTTCATGTAACGTTGATAATATTTTATGTATATGAGAATTTGAAATAGCCATCATTTTGTTTTTGTCAATAAGTGTTGAGCATAGAAATAGTTCATAGGTCTAAATCTGCATTAAAAACACGTACAGTCTAGTGAAACCTATTCTCAATGAACGTCTGAGCTATAGCTAATCGTCATCTAGTTTATAGCATGCTGCTCCACACCAACGTTTGCTAAACCTACGTAGCTATCGGTCGTCCAGCCAGTTCATAGTGTACTGTAAGTAAAATGCTACTCAACAGCTAAGTTTGCTAAACTATCGGTTGTTGAATGGTGTCTGAGTGTTGCTCTATGGGTGCCTGCAGCGAGAGTGGCTACGTGTGGACACAGACGGTGTACGACACGACGGGGAACATCCTCACAAACCCAGACTTCTCAAACCCTGTCAAGAAGACCCTCCGGGTCCACGTCTGTAGGAACATCACCAAAGCCATGAACACCAACTGCTCCTCCAAGGGACTTGCCCCGGTCTACATGGTAAAAACCTCTCCTTTTTTCTCCCCCTTATCCGACTTGGCTATGTCACCTTCTTCTATACTATACCCATTGTCTTCCGTTACACCCTCTAAAGCCAGAAAGGGTGGATATCATGTGCAATCACATGATATTAGTTTTGACAATGATTTTTATCACTTTGATTGTCTGTTCTAGAGTATTATTCATTGGTGGAAATGTTTTAGCAGTAGTGGAGAGTGCAATGCATATGGGAACATCAGGACTGCCAACATACCACATGACGGTAAGTACGCTATGCCGAAAAATGGGTATGCCTCTTTTTTTAAATTCGCAGGATTTTTTATATACTGAGTGCTGCCCCATAACTCCAACCATCATACATCCACCATGCAGGGGTGTTCATAGACTACTATGGGGGAGAGGCAGAGAGCCACATAGTCCAGTACTCTGCTCGACTCTACTTTGTCTGCAAGGCAGGCACCACGCTGGAGGGCCCAACACTGGAACATGTCAAAGACTCTGACACTGCACACATTCGCTTCAACACGAAGTATGTGTGCTAGACCACACCTCTGCTATAATATAGCTGTGTAGGTTCACTGTGCTAGTGAAGAATAGCTATTGTAAACATTGTGTTTGAGATTCGAAATAATATATTTTTGAGTATGTATAATGTACATATAAGGTGTAGAGTTCAGGTATGTGCAAAGTAAGCACTTCTAGTCATTGGGTCAGAAATGATTACTGCTGAGGCCATATTTATTGTGGCTTTTCTTACGATCCGTCTTAGATCACAGCAGGATTGCCAGAGAGGCAAGTTCATAGAGTAGCAGTGACTGGTAATGGTATCAAACCTGTGTACAGTTCTTTCAGGGTTTGGTGAAACTGGTGCTACAACATCTCCAGTGGCATACAATGGTATTGAGCCAGACACAACAGGCTGTGGAGTTCGTCCAAGGCTTCTGGAGTGTGGAGCAGGAGAAGGAGTGTTGAGTGATGGAGACATTGGACCTACAGACTCAGTGGATGTCAGTGATCAAGACCAGGTCACCAGGTTCTTTGTCTGGCATCGAGACAATGGCTCTGTGGCACTCTCTTTCTCTGCCACTGATATCTCTACTGTGTCCTACATTGAAGTCTACTTCTTGAGTCTTCCCTCTACCAAAATAGGACCACCTGAGACTACTAGAATTGCTACTGATACGCATCCAATAGTTGAGGATACTTTCATCCCTCAGAACTGCTCTTTCTCCTCCTCTACCAATACACTGACCAGGAATACATTCACTCTACCACAGAATCCTGATATTATAGTGATCACATTCAATTTCAACCAAGACACTGACTGGCTGTTCATCAGTGAGATACAACTGTGTGCAGGAGATCCTCCATCTTCCATCTCTTGTGGCTCTCCCACCCACTGACCCCACACCAACCTCCTCCCCTCCCCAGAAACCTGGAGACCCGCAGATTCAACACTACTCTCAGTGACACTGGTCCCCTGAGTGGTGGCAGTGTGTCCTCCACTGACAAGGTCACTGTGTCTCAACTCACTATCTACTGTGCATCTGAGACAGACAATGGAGAGTACACATGTTCAGTGGATGGGGAGTCAACTTCTTTCCGTGTTGATCTAGGTAAGTTGCTATTCGTAGCTATTAGCTACCTCCACATTCACCAAAGAAGTTGTTCTATGTAGGTAACTCAGAAACAGGAGCCGACAGCAATGGTAAGCTACAAGAACACCCACTGTAGACTGAAAATGTCCCACAATCACTCTCCCACAGAGTCTCTGACTGGTGCAGTGGTGGGACTGGCTGTATTGCTCCTCGTCTCAGTGACTATCAACCTACTGTTAGCTGCCCACTGGATGTACACACTGAGACGGAGGGGAACAAAGAGTGGTGGAGAGGGTCCTGGGAACCAGGAACAGCTGTATGAGGTGGTCGATGGTGATCAGCAACTCAATGCAGCACGAGATGAGGTCTCTCTGAAAACCAATGAGGCTTACGGGAAAATCAGCACCCAGAACACGACCTCTGCACCCAACACTGCACTTTGACTCAGATTTGTATATGTAACATAGAGCACGCATGCCTGTACGTTAGGAGGATGTGATGTCACCATTATTGTGTGTATAAATACCCATGTCTTTGTAGTAGAGTATAGAGAGCTTGTGTTCTTCATGATGTTATGTTTTTGTGCATGAAAATTTGAAATAGCCATCATTTTGTCTTTGACAATAAAAGTGTTGTGTGTAAACCAAGAAATAGTTGAGTTGTGTGCACTGTAATCACAAGCGTAGTCAGTCAGACAGCAGTGACGAACATGATCTTTGAGAGAGTCTTCCTCTGTAGCATTTCTCTCAATTCATCTGAGCTCACAGCAAGAATGTCAGAGTGGTAAGTTCATTAACAGTATTAGTATTGAATAGTATAAGCTGGCATGCAGGAGTGTATTCAGGAATTCGAGATGCTAGAGATACAGTAGCTCCAGTGGCATACAATGGTATTGAGCCAGACACAACAGGCTGTGTGGTGAGAGCTGAAGGAACGTTCTTTGAGTGTGAGGCAGGAGGAGTGTTGAGTGATGGAGACATTGGACCTACAGACTCAGTGGATGTCAGTGATCAAGACCAGGTCACCAGGTTCTTTGTCTGGCATCGAGACAATGGCTCTGTGGGACTCTATTTCACTGCCACTGATATCTCTACTGTGTCCTGCATGGAAGTCTACTTCTTGAGTCTTCCCTCTGCAAAAATAGGACAACCTGAGACTACTAGAATTGCTACTGATACCCATCCGATAGTTGAGGATACTTTCGTCCCCCAGAGCTGTTCTTTCTCCTCCCTCTACCAATACACTGACCAGGAATATTTTCACTCTACCACAGAATCCTGACGATCTGATCATCACATTCAATTTCGACCAAGACACTGACTGGCTGTTCATCAGTGAGATACAACTGTGTGCAGGAGATCCTCCATCTTCCATCTCTTGTGACTCTCCCACCACTGACCCCGTGCCTCCCTCCTCTTCCACCCCTCCCTCCCTCACTCTTTCCTCTCCCCCAACCACCGGAGCCGCAGAGAGCCCTGACCTGGGCCAGCCTGACTCTGTCAGTCTCACTTGCTCTGTGGCCAGTCCTCCTACTGGTGACTATCAATACCAGTGGCAGTGGTGGAGGAATGGGACACAACTGAGCAACACTGACACTCGATTCTCTATCACACACTCCACCAACACTCAGTCCAGTAGTCTAGTCATATCTGGTCTCAGATATTCTGATGCAGGAGACTACATGTGTACAGTGGAGTATGGAGCATGTCCTGATGGAGTGGACTGCAGTGGAACCACACCAGTCACTGGAAACATACACCTTAACCTCCAGTGTATGTGTTTGGTATACTGTTTTGCATAGTTACTACTAGTATGGGAAGTTTGATCCACTGAAGTTACAGCAGATACCAAAACAAGTGGTTTTGTTTTATAGCCATTGAATAGGGGACCCTCTGCTGAAATTCTATACGGCTATAGATTAGGGTCTATAATATACAGCTCTCATTGTTATGCATAATAGTAATAGAAAGAAAAGTAAAGAGAATCTCAAGCTGGTAAATGTTAGCTTTCACTGTTTTGTTTTTCTTTTGTCCCTCCTGCAGTGATGGTGGAGGTAAAGTCCTCAGGACTGGTGGTGAGAGAAGGAAGTGAGGTGATTGTTCTGACATGTGAGGTGTATGGCTATCCTCGAGACTCCTCACCTCCCAAGTGGAGCTCTCCTGGGAGAAACCTGGAGACTGGCAGATTCATCACTACTCTCAGTGACACTGGTCCCCTGAGTGGTGGCAGTGTGTCCTCCACTGACAAGGTCACTGTGTCTCAACTAACTATCTACTGTGGATCTGAGACCGACAATGGAGAGTACACATGTTCAGTGGATGGAGAATCTGCTTCTTTCCGTGTTGGTCTAGGCAAGTTGCTATTCATAGCTATTAGCTACCTCCACATTCACCAAAGAAGCTGTTTTATGTAGGTAACTCAGAGACAGGAGTGGACAGCAATGGTAAGCTACAAGGACACCCAATAGACTGAAAATGTCCCACAATCCCCCTCCCACAGAGTCTCTGACTGGTGTAGTGGTGGGGCTGGCTGTATTGCTCCTCGTCTCGGTGACTATCAACCTACTGTTAGCTGCCCACTGGATGTACACACTGAGAGGAGGGGAACAATGTTGGACAAAGAGATGCGGTGAGAGGGGTCCCGGGACCAGGAACAGCTCTATGAGGTGGTCGATGGTGATCAGCCACTCTATACTACAATACCTCTGAAAAGAAATGAGTCTTATAGTAAAATCAGCGCCCGGAATCCATCTTTTGCCACCAACAATGCACTTTGACTCATAATGGACACTCGTGACCTATTACATTGCGTTTTTGACCATGTTTAGACGTGTTAGTGTTTCAACAGAGTTTGACTTTTAAAAACTCGTGACCTGTTACTTGTCAAGTATAAACATTGTGTGTTTGGACTATTATAATATGTTTAGACGTGTTAGAGTATTGGAATGCACAATAACTTGTTAGATGACAACTTGAAAAAGGGTTTAGTACTACAACTGCTCTAAAAAGATTTCTGTACAACAAGGTAATAATCATTGTTTCAACAGCTCCAGTACACTTTGTGAAATACTGTTTAATATGAAGTGTCGTAGCCGCACATAGAGAAGTGGTGGGTGATAGTGATACTGAACTGAAGTTGGTAAACACTAGATGCAAAATTGATCATGAGTACTCCCTTGGTAATCAGCAGCAAGGAGAAATGTAAAATGGCTACTTACTGTGCGACATGGATTGTGTGTGGAACAGGGATTGTAGGAGTTCACAACGATTTGTGCTTTTGTGTGCATGACTTTCATGACTTTATAGTGAGTGGTGAGTTAGTGTTTAATGGTCAGGGTAAAAATAGAGCCAGATAGCTGTTTCATAACATGTCTGAAAGGTGGCATCAGAGGATTCAGAGCTCTACAATAGTAATGAGCCACCATAAAAACAATAAGTCCTGGATTACATAAACTCACAACACTTAAAGTCAGTAAGTTAGCATAATAATTGGCGATCGAAGTGAGCTTACCTAGTCGTTTAAATGAGGGAATGTTCGATATATATTTGTTTCTAACTAACGGTCAGGCGCTGTACATACCGTAATGTTGTATGTGATTCTAAATATGCGCAAAATAAACGTGAAATATTGAACTGAAGTGTCCTAAAAAGCTATGTCAAACTGACAAACAAGTAGACATTAACCCACTAAGTAAACAGTAAGTTTTGTCTACACAGCACACTCTACTCACTTGAAACGGCCATTGAGATGTTTGCAACTTCTTTTCTCATTGTGGGAGTCTTCATAATTCCTCTGAGTTTACAACAAGGTTGTCAGAGGGGTAAGCTTCACGTGGAATAAGAACTAGTTACATGCAATGGATTTATAGATTCTTCAAGGGTTCAAGAAACTGATACTACAACATCTCCAGTGGCATACAATGGTATTGAGCCAGACACAACAGGCTGTGAAGTTGGTCCAACATTTCTGGATTGTGGAGCAGGAGAAGGAGTGTTGAGTGATGGAGACATTGGACCTACAGACTCAGTGGATGTCAGTGATCAAGACCAGGTCACCAGGTTCTTTGTCTGGCATCGAGACAATGGCTCTGTGGCACTAGATTTCATATCCTCTGATATCTCTACTGTGTCCTACATTGAAGTCTACTTCTTGAGTCTTCCCTCTGCCAAAATAGGACCACCTGAGACTACTAGAATTGCTACTGATTTTAATCCAAGAGTTGAGGATATTTTCATCCCTCAGAACTGCTCTTTCTCTTCCTCTACCAATACACTGACTAGGAATATGTTCACTCTACCACACAATCCTGATAATGTTGTAGACATCGCATTCTATTTCAACCAAGACACTGACTGCATGTTCATCAGTGAGATACAACTGTGTGCAGGAGATCCTCCATCTTCCATCTCTTGCAGCAATACTCTCCCTCTCCAAATTCTCTCCTCTCTTCTCTCCCACCCATGGCACATGACTCTGTCAGTCTCACTTGCTCTGTGGCCAGTCCTCCTACTGGTGACTACCAATACCAGTGGCAGTGGTGGAGGAATGGGACACCACTGAGCAACACTGACACTCGATTCTCTATCACACACTCCACCAACACTCAGTCCAGTAGTCTAGTCATATCTGGTCTCAGATATTCTGATGCAGGAGACTACATGTGTACAGTGGAAAACAAGGTAACCAATTGCAACTTGGCACTAGGAGAAGCTATCTTCGAACCCTGCTCAGTTGAAGATTACACTAGCCCTTCCAGGTTTATTTAGCTGTAGCTATACAGCCACAGGTTTATTTAGACCTATTTCTTTACAGTTAGAGTAGAGGCCATCAGTGCTGCTACACTAGTAGGGGAAGCTGTCCACTTGAGATGTGAGGTGAGAGGCTATCGCAAGTCGGACTCTTTGCCTCAGTGGAGCAGACATGGCAAAATGTTGGACACTAACTGTACTAAATACTGCCAGACCCTCTTGCCTGGAAAACACGTCGTACAAGATTGACAGGGGCGTACTCTAATTAGTAACGATACTGGTCTTTTGATTTTCAATGTTACTGAAAGTGATTCCGGTGAGTATGTCTGTACTGTTGATGACACTTCTGCCTCTGCCACTCTTGTGGTTAGAAACGAACGGTACTTAGTGATAAAAGTTTCTGTGTGCATCCAGGTAAGCCACTGCCCTACGTATGATCAATCTCTCTATGTTTTCTATTATAGCTGCCATGATAGTGCTGGGAGTACTACTCACACTCTCAATAGCAGTCGCAGTAGTTGCTACATGTCTCTACCTTCACCAGTGGAAGAAACAACGCTCAACAAATCATACACAATCAGGAGCTAACCCTCACAGTGAGGAGAGTGTTGGAGAGAAATACTATGAGGATGTAGGGAATACCAGTGTACCGATGATGAAGGACAATGAATCATACGGCAAGCTTGGCAAAGTGACTATGTCTGATTCCACACTGTAGGACACCTCACCAGAGTAAACTGACACACCTCACACCTAGTGCATAATGTTGAGCGTAACATGCTATATACCCATGATATTAGAGAAATGGGTGTAGCCGCACAAACACATGTAGTGCTCCAGTTTAATTTGTTTGACAATGGGGGAATATGACACCCAAGTTAAATACGTGCAAACAACGCGCAAACTGCTCGCGCTCGCTCACCAACAATTCCTCTAACTATGATGTCACTTAGTTCACCTGGTAGATAAGGCCAGGAAAAAAAAGAAGAAAAAAACCAACTCCCGTCAGGAGTCAAAGTCTGGGAAGTCCAGTGCACTGCACACAGAACTACAACTCCCAGGTCTTCCCCTTACCTCTAAGTGTTACTACCAGCATTCGTTTCCCATCTTATTGCGCCTGCTCAAATACTACTTTGAAGCCAAAAAGTTAAATTCTCAAACACACACACACACACACCTGTGTACCCAAGTCTGATGCAAGACTAAGAGGTCAGAGTCTGGCAATGTCATTGAGGAACCCCTCATCCTGGGTGGGCGAGAGGCTCTGGAGGACATCGCTCAGTCCCAGGTCAGTGGCTATCTTCCTCTTGAGTGGGAGGTTACGCAGGTGGCCCAGGAGTCGCCTCATGTTGGCTGCAGACTCGGGCGGTCTCTCCCGGTCATGTTGATACCTGTGGTCCAGAACATAGCACAAGTTATATGAAAAGCACAAAGTGTAAACCCTCGGTGCAAGGAACGCACACGCACGTTGACATGCGCATAAAGCACTGCTATTTAATGGGCCGCGCCACGCCATGTTCAGGAGAATCCTCTTTTTGTTCTTCACACTATCGTAGCTTTAGTATCGCTCATAGGCCACTTTGTAGCCTGTAGTGCGACATAGTACAGTAACCCTCACTGCGCATATGGGCCGAGGGTTAATTAGTCACCACTGCCAAACGTTGCGGAGGCATGCAACCAGATATGGAAGTCTTAGGTTTATATTTCAAATCAATGCAGTTGGTATTGTCTAGTTTTGCCACTGTATACATTAAGAGGCTGTGAAAAAGGCAATTTTATGGTAGAACAAACTTTCCTCCACACAGACACTAATATGCAAATAATGTTCGTATGTACTGACCTGCTAGCTAGTTCTTGGAACATGTTTGCCTTCAGAGGGAAGGCAGTTTTGTAGTCACTGAGATAGTGGAAGTGGCCGCCAATCACAACCTTCTTGTAGAGAGGGCCGACCCAGTCTGTCCAGCTGGTCCGCTTGTACGCATCAGCCACTATCAGAGCCTGAACAATGAGATTTACACTAACAAGGCTTTGCTACCGTGGCAGAGACAATGGCTACATTGCTCATGGTGATTTCTACTCCAGCAGTGTGTGTCTATGAAGGTAAGGCAAGGCCTTCCCTTGTTCAAGCATATGACTACATACACAGACTCTTTCTCCAGTCTGCGCTCATGTGGACACGCGCGGTAGGGTCACGTGTGGAAGGAGGGTCTCGCACGGTCCGCCTAACAACCCATAAAATTCAAGTAAAATTCAGATTTGGCTAGCGACCTCACTGAATGCGCTCACGCATGTGATGGCCGGAGAGAAAGGGTTTGCAGGCTAACTAACAAAACTCCACATCCAATGCTAAAAGTTTATAGCTAATTATATACCTCCTGGAAAGGCAGTTCCTCCATCAGTTTGACGACTTTCTTGTGGTCAAGGTTGATGACCTGTTTGTTTCCAGAGCCATGGAGGAGGGAGAGTTGGAGAGCCACCAGTCTTGCCAGAGAGTAGCACTGCTGGGCACTAGACAGATAGTCCTCCTGCACACAAGGAAACAACTGACTGATACTTCTGCACCAGCATAGCTACGTGCAAATGACTGCATCTTTACATTGAAGTGTCACAACATGCATCTCAGCAAGCGGAAGCAAACCAAGGCGGGCATTAGAGTTACATGTGCATGTCAGCACTGAAGTGACCGCATTCAATAAGCAACAACCTCTCCTGTTCTCAGACATCTCTATTTCTCGTGCTTGTCGTACAGGATTCCTATGCTGCTGGCCTCTCTTACTTTAGATGTTTGCGTTGCACGCCTTGCCCAGTCTTGAGCTTGTGCTGAGAAAGGCTTGTTTCTGGCTCCTGAACAAAAATAAAGACGCTTCCTCCCACGATCTTCAGTTGCCGCTCCTGACCAGAAGCACAACGATTTCTGCAAGCTTCAGTTGCTGCTCCCGAGCTTCCTCGCTTTCAGAAGTTGTACAATTTCTACAAGCTTTATAGATGCTACCGAGCTTCCTTGCCTTCAGAAGCGCGACAATTTCTGCGAGCTTTAGTCGCTGCTCCTGAGCTTCCTCGCCTAGACTGAGAGTCAATAATGCCACTATAGATACCTGTGAATAGGTCTTGGCTGCTGTTCGCAGAGACTCAAACACGGCCTTCAGTGTCTTGACTGTCTCTGGGTTACTTGATGCTGCAAACAAAAACAAAAGCAGCTATGTTGCAATAGCCTGTCATGCTTGGGAGCTTCAGCATTACAAAACACACTAAATCTTCTTGGCACTGCAGGCATTATGTACTATGATCTTACGTAAAAAACGAGTACCGCATTATGTGCTATAGGAGAGTCAATAAAAGGTATTCCCCGTTTATAAGAGCACACTGCTAATTGTCGGTATTTCCAGTTGGTTAGCTACATACCGAGATGTTTTGGTTTGATTCTCCTGAGGTCTCTTTTGGCCTGTTCCTGCTTGGTGTTGGCCAGTTCATAGAACATCCCAAACTTGAGAGCCACCATCTGCATCTTCTCGTGGTCGTTGAGATGGTGAGTCTGGAGGTAGTCCATCAGTGCCACTCGCAACTGCTCCTCCTGTACCACACACACACGCACACATTGCAACTAAGATAATCTTTATGTACGTATGTGTACAGAGATTTATTTGCCTCATGCTCTATTGAGTTTCTTGACCCAATTCTCCATGCTGTATTATGTGTACACTATAAACAACAATGTAATGAATAATTGGAAAAAGTGTTTCTGATTGCACACAACAACCACCAACATGCTACCAATCTATACAACATAACCCTTTGTTAGAGACAGAAGAGGTCTCTAACCATAAGTGGTGCAATATATGAGCAAAAGGGTCTATCTAAGTGGGTAGCCATACTTTCTCCAGGCCGGTGTGGAGGAGTGACTCAAACTGGTCGTTCTCCATCAGTAGCTGGAGGATGTAGTCCATCTCATAGAACCTCCCTATTCCTGTCAGCAGACGAACCTGGACACACACGCACATTTAGGTTCTAACATTGAACATTTGAGTGCAGTAAGTCAATCAAATGGTCATAAAACTCACACACACATCAGTAAAATGTCATAATATTGACATAAGCTCTTGCGTTAGTTGTGTGATTATGCGAGTGACAAAAATGTTTATTTTTCAACTACAGTAGCTTGCGTCATGATACAACTGTATGTTGCATTATAAAGCATAAAGCTGCGTCATGCGTCACAGCCATACATGATGCAGATGCAATGGCCTTCGTCACTATTGCGCATCCATTACAAGAGGTTAATTGTTCAGAGAAGAACACTGACCACTAGTGAGAAGAGTTTGAGTAAAATGAGGTTGGGGACCCACTGTCGGACCACTAGGAGGACCTCAGAAATACCGTCCACACTGCACCCCAGAGTGTAGCAGTCATGAGCTCTTACCAACAGCTCCACCTGCACTGTTATATCACGTATATAGTGTGAGAGATGGAGAGAGGCAATGTAAGGCATTAACACAAGCTGTAAAATATCCGAAAAAAAACAAATATTCTTCCTTGATATTGCAGGAATCAAGCCATGAAGGTACCTAATGTATGTACCTAAAAATGGGTGTACACAGTTATTTTTAGAGTCTCACTCTGTGTAGTCTGCTTGTTGAGTCGTGGAGAGGACTTGGCCATTGAGAGCAGATGACTTCCCACTCGTTGTGGTCCGGACAGAGCTGGCCAGTTCTGCAAACTGAGCACTAGTCATCTGGGGATAGTAGACTCTGCTGTGGGGACCCTCCTCTCTCTCACTGTGTTAGATAACACACACACACACACACACACGAAAACGGATGAATGAGATATGTATGAGCATAGTCTAGTGGCCATACATACGTACTTTCCGCGCAATGCGTTGAGGTGCTTGCACATCAAGGATGGGGAAGGATACCCTTATGCGCATGCAGCTCAATGCTGCACAGAAAATATGTATGGCCTGTAAGACTAATTTGAGCATGTGTAACATCGGAAAGCATGATATGAAAGAGAAGGTGAGAGGTTTGTTTCTCACTGGACATTCCACTCTGTGACTGTAGTGCACTGCCACACATTCAGACAGGAACCCAGCCACCTGTGGGAGAAAATAATAGAGCCCTGCAAAAGGTCACATAAACTGGCGTTGATATTTCTGCCGGACAAAAGGAAAAAAAACGGTGACTTAGTGTGAAAAACTGCAGGTACTGTGTGTCTTGTGCATGCACAGTTATGTGACAGCATTGGTATGTACATTATATTATTTGATAGCATGCGCGCCGAGGGTAGTAAACCCACGACAGACACCCAGAGGTATTTTTACCACAAAAACACCACCTCTTTAGACTTGAGGTTGGAGTCACTGACAACACTCTTGCCAGCGTGGTAGCGCTAGTGACCCTACACTGAGGACTGAGAGAGGATTTGAATGGATCAGTGACCACTGATGTGTAGGACATGTGAAGACACTGAGGCAACGGAAGAAACAAAACATTAGAGGATAAAATTCAGAAGACTTTGTGAAGGGGAAAAAGGTCAAAAGACAAGGCAACTATACCCAGCACAATTTATCTATACGATTTCAAGGAAGAGCATTTTCTTCCAGGGAAGCTGGCATATTAAGGTGTGGTGCAAGCAACAAAACAAAAAGGACAGATATGATATCAGAGTAGGTAAGAGTATTACTGACCACTGCGACTTTGAAGCAGGTGGTGATGCAGCTGCAGCAGTGCTGGGCATGTTTGGCTCGATCCGAGAGCCGCTGCATCATCCGGACGATCTCGGCTGACGGCCGGGAATCCCCCCGCTGCTCCACACCCAGGGAGAGCTCGCTGAGGTGGCGAGGCGAGTGGGTGGAGACAAGACTGAGGACCTGGTCTGTCAGCTGCTCTGTAGACAGCTTCCCCTGGGCCAGCTGGATGCAACACTAGCAGAGGGGAGATGGAGATGTCAGATTGAGACTACCACAGTTTTCCACATAGGGGAGGGACACACCTACGTAGCTACATCAATAATGTGCATTGTAAATTGTTGTCAATTCAGTAAAAAGGTAGTCTAGCCTGCAGACCCTCTCTTTGGTCTGCGCATGCATAGACGCGCGCCCGGCAACTACACGCGCTGGGGCCATGGACATGCGCGCATGGTGGGGGCACACATGTGCGTTTGCACGTAAGCGGACTGGAGTCTGCCAGCTAGATAAGGTTCAGATATAATACACACACGAGAGTCACCTATATACCTAATACCTATATACCTACCAGGACAATGGTGAGGTCAGGGGAGTCATGCTCAAATAGAGCGGCCAATTCCCCTGGCCTGAGCGATTAAGCCATCATTCACACAACAACACAACCAACAAACCAAAATCAAAAAAACTCCAGACCACACACCCCACAAAACAACACCTCAATCCACACCTTCCAAAACCCAAACACCCACATCCAAACCCAAAAACACCGCCCGCCACTCACCCACCCCCCACACCACCCTCCCCCTCCCCCCCACCCCCCCCCAAAAAAAAACAGTCATCCCCACATCATGTTGAATGCCGTCACTCCTACAGACAGTAACACAAAAAGCAGCGTACAACTGTGTACGTTTTCGTCCACTCACCACACAACTAGTAGACACTCCATAAAACCTAACTGAAAACGGAAGTAATCACACATATATACTACACTGCCATGTAGATACTAACAGTAGTAATGGCAAGGTACACATACACTATGACGTGAATTAGGCTCTAAAAGTAACCAGTACAGCAAATGCAGACCTGTGCGTCAGTGAGGGAAGCTGGCAGTGTCTCTGTGCTGACTGGCCTCAGTGAGGACCGGGACCTTGTCAGGAGAGCCAGTTCAGCCAGGTTCCTCTGACCAGAGTAGGAGACACCGTGATGGATAGGGCAGACAAGAGAGAGGAGGTTCCGCTGAGGACAGAATGATCCTCCGGGCGTAGTAGGTAGGATGGTAGGAATGGCAGTCGGAGACCCTCCTGATCTGTCCCCTGGCTGGAAAAACAATGAGTATTACTTTAACAGCTAGTCTTTGGTCTACGGACATTAAAACATGCAGACCATAAAGTTTTCTCCACTGATAAGTTCTGTCCTCCATAGCTTCTGCATCTCCTCACATAGGTGTACATATATGAGGAAACTACCAACTTTACAACAGGTACTAAAGGTGCATGTTTTGTATGTATGTACAGATAAATGTCTGAGTACGTAGTGCAGTATAGTACAATATCAGTGTATGTCAAATCCCCTATCAAACACACTTTTAGAGGACACCTATGACTACTCTCTCACAGTTGTGTAAGTGCAAGTGGTAAATGCTGCACAACTTCCTTCACCGTTTTATGGACTTACAGCTCTCTGCATGTCTTCACCGAGGCCCGTATCTGGAGCGCCAGCAGATTCGCGCTCAAACTCACTGAGCTGGTCGGCAGTCATGGCTGTCGGTCTCTCGTCGCCACTTGAGAGGTCAAAGGCCAGGAGAGAGCTCTCTCAGTGGCCCGAGCAGGTGAGTGGAGGAAGGAGTGGGAGAGGAGGAGGTAGGAGGAGGAAGAGGAAGGGAGAAGTAGGTGGAGCATGTTTGGGGTGACATCACTGGAGTGGTTGCAACCCACCGACTGGACAACAACAACAGAGAGAGAAAGAGTTAAAGTTAAAACGTAAGTCACCCTAGTCAAGAGAGTGTAAACGTCGCATGTATCAGATAAAGTGTGAGTAGTTCAGTATGTATCCAAAGACCTCAAAGAATTCGCAGCCAGTTCAGGTCAACCTTCTCCTTGTTGAAGGATGGTGTTGCAGGAGTGCCAGAAGTTGAGACGTGCCTGTTCATACTGCCAGTAGCTGGACTCTGACAGCTTCCGCAGATTGTGCTCAGCCTAAACAACAATACAGTTTGGGAGATACTCACTAAAAAAAGCAACATAATTTCCGGGTGCATAAGTACATTCATACGTTGGTCTGCGTCAAATTTGCAATAGTCATGCTGAGGACCTATATCTACCATGTACAACCTTTAGGCGCACTTGTGCATGTGTGCACAGACAGTGTGTATGCAAGTTTGAGCGTAAGTTTACTTGCTGCTGGGTGTAAAACGGCGCGCAGGTGGTATAAAAGGTATGTACATGATAGCATCGAGGAGGAGAGTATTCCTGCATAGTTGTTGGCCGACGCAAGGCAAAAATGAAAGTGTGTATTCGCCACTAGACCTTAAAATGTCTACACTCATTCTTTCGTTAGCAAGAGATACATCTCACATTCTCAAAAGAGTGTAGAAATCACTCTGACACGGCGTAAGTACCTCTGTAACAGTGACTCGTTGGCAGTGGAGCTACACACGGTGCATAGCTCGGGCCACGTCGAACTGAGCATTCTCTCCGTAGCATGCTCAACACTCGGTCACTGCTGTCACCCTCACTCTCACGGAGTACACCTGCAGCAGGGTGAAGAGGAATAGCGACAGGCGAGGAATAATACCGCACAACTGCACTACTCTGATTTTCAAGAGCGAAACCACTCATATTTCAATGTTTACACCTGCAACAGCCAAAAAGTCATTGTGTTTCCATGGCTATATACTATTGTGTGGGTTGTGGAGGTGGCACCTCACGCCTGCCCCTTATAGTTTTCAGTTCACATAAACAAGTGGTTCAATATAGTAGAAGTCCCAGTGTCAACAGAAGGCAGTCTTTTAACTGTGATCAGTCTCAAGATGAAGAGTATGTCTAGTTTGTTGCGACTCTCGGTTTGAGTCTTTGTGGTCGAAAGGTTCCTTCTATATAGCATGCGTATTTATATCCATGTGTAGCTGTTGCTGTGAGTCCACCAGTCCAGGTAGTGTACCTCAAGGATTAGAGTCAGTTCAATGGAGGCTCGAGTGTGACAATGGATGTACTAGTCCACTAGTAGACAGTGGTGATGTGATGGTGTGCAAGTCCCAAAGCTTGCTGTTTGATGGTTGCTCTCCTGATATTGACACAAGTACCTCTGACTGGGCATCTCAGCTAGTGACAGTGAGGAGGAATGAAGGAACTCCTGGTATCACTTTCCCTCATGTTCTGCTGACATTTGGCTTTGACACAGCTGTGTCCCTAACTGGAATTGAGATGGACTTGTTCAACTGTTCTGACTGGAACATTGGTGCTCCATCTATCGCAGTGTTTCTCAATCCAGATTACAACTTAACAACTACGACCAACAACATACTTAATAGCCTTCCATTTGTGCTTGCTGGTGACAACTCCCTCCAGTCATCTTGTGATTCCCTTTCAACTGTTACCTTTTCTGGAGGCTCATTCCAAAGTGGATCGTATCGCACAGTCTATATTCGAGTGGACCTATCACACACCTCATCCATACAGTGGGTTCATGTAGGAGAGATCAGGTTCATTGGTATAGACAGTCCAACTTGTCTTAAACCAGCCCCTTCCTTGTCTCCAATAAAGCTATCTTCATTTCGTGAGTTTTATGACAATATGTGTAGGTCATATTGTTCAGGGAGGGTTATTTACCAGCCGAAATGGCTATGCATTTGCTAAAGGAGTGCTACATACTTTCGGCCCATGTTAATGTGGCAAGAGAGATCTAAACATGGTGGTCAAAATGGTAATGATCAGCTTACGCAGTCAGGGCTTATATTTTCTTTTACAGCATATACTAGATGCAGATAATGGTCATTACTGTAGCTCATTACTCGTCTCCAATGCATAATCAATGTCAAACAAACAATAAGGACCTGTCAAGACCACCTCCCACTGGAGGTGCAAGGAGATTAAAACAACAATACCATGCAGTACCAATTACCTAATTCCCTCTAGGTGTGGAGAAAACTATTGTGGAAAGACTAGCCATGAGGAGCTGTCAACCATGGCAACATCTAGTGCAGGTAAGAGATAAGCTAGCTAGCCATAACCAATTTTAGTGAGCTCACTCTACATAGTATCTGTTCACATTATTTTGTAGCTAATATTGTGCCTACGTCAGTTCCTGGAGACAGAGAGAATGACAGTACATGTAGTGAGGAGTCCAGTGGCTCAGCTGTGATTGCTGTGTCAGCAGTATCTCTGCTGCTGATCCTCACTCTCACCACAGTCATCCTCACTCAATGTCTACTCATCTTCAGAATGAGGAGGTCTAGGAACAAGACTGAGACCTATGCAGAGGCCAGTAACCCAACCACCAAGACAACTGATGTTCGTGTGTCTCCTAATGAGGCATATGCTCTGACCATGATAACCAGCCAAAGGGAAGAAGTTACCTATGAGGTGGTGCAATGACAGAAGGAAGCAAAAAGAAAACATTATAGCTTACTTAGTGGCTAAGTTTGTGCTTCGTTACAGGATAATGTAGTTCACTTTCATAGATACTGCTGGTCTCTGCATTTCCACTAGCATAAACACTCACCCACAAAAATGTTAGTTGTTTGCACATGCACTGGTGTGTATGAAAATGCTGACATAAGGAGGCACTATTGCTGTTGTTGAGCCCACATGTCATGTGTTGAATGCATACAATAGCCTTTTTCTGTTGAAAATGTAACATGCATGTGTGGGACTGAGACCTATGCAGAGGCCACTAACCCAACCACCAAGACAACTGAGGTTCCTGCTCCTAATGAGGCATATGCTCTGACCAAGATAACCAGCCCAAGGGAAGAAGTTACCTATGAGGTGGTGAAATGATAGAAGAGTAAAAGATTCAAGCATGAAAGTATTGCTTACTCAGTGGCTAAGTTTGTGCTTCTTTACAGTTCACTTTCATACATACTGCATAGTCTCTGTACTCAACTAGCATAAACAATCATGCACCCACAAAAGTGTTAGCTTGTTTGCACATGCACTGATGTGTATAAAATGTTGACATAAGGAGACACTATTGCTGTTATTGAGCCCACATGTCATGTGTAGAATGCGGCCTTCGTGTGTTGAAAGCACAGCACTAGAAACAAGTCCACGTGAGTAGTATTGTAACGTGCATGAGATCTATTCAGAGGCCACTAACCCTACCACCAAGACAACTGATGTTCCTGTCTCTCCTAATGAGGCATATGCTCTGACCAATATCGAGGAATCAACTGCTCCAAGATCCTACCTAGCTCCTGCCTTGAGAACAACTCATAAATTTTTTATGAGGTCATCATTATGTAATGTACGTTGTCGACTATTGTTAACGAATAATAGTGCAGGTCGGCTGACGATGCGCATGCTCTATTATAACCAACCTAAGGGAAGCGGTCAATAATGTTTAGAAGAAGAATAGAAGGGTATATAGTATAGTAGCAGAGTGATAAACACAGCACAACCACACTACTGTGGTTACCCAAGGGAATTATAAACTACAGTTGGAATAGCCTGTTGACATTGCAATGCCCACACCAGCAAAATTCATTGTATTTCCATGGTAAGGGCATAGGTTGTAGAGGTGAAACCCCACCTCTACTATGTCCCACATGCTTCCTTAATAAAACCGAAACAAGTGGTTGCTTCCTATAGTAGAAGTCTAGTGTGTCAACAGGAGGCAGTCTTTTACTGGATCAGTCTCAAAGTGAAGATGAAGAGTGTGTCTGGTTTGTTGCTACTCAGTTTGAGTCTTTGTGGTACGTTTAACTTTAGGGAACTATAACTATGCTTGTTTTGTATCCCATGTGTAGCTGTTGCTGTGGGTCCACCAGTCCAGGTAGTACCTCAAGAAATAGAGTCAGTCAATGGATCTAATGTGACAATGGGATGTACTAGTCCACTAGTAGACAGTGGTGGTGTATTGGTTTGTGAGTCACTAAGCTATCTGGTTGATGGTGTCTCTCCTGATATTGACACAAGTACATCTGGCTGGGCATCTCAGCTAGTGACAGTGAGGAGGAATGAGGGAACTCCTGATCTCCCTTTCTCTCATGTTCTGCTGACATTTGGCTTTGACACAGCTGTGTCTCTGACTGGAATTGAGATGGACTTGTTCAACTGTCCCGACTGGAACGTTGGTACTTCATCTATATTTACAGTGTATCACAATCCAGATTACAACTTAGCAGCTACCACCAACATATTACTTAACCTTCCATTTGTAGTGGCTTATTATAATTCCTCCCAGTCATCTTGTGACTCTCTTTCAACTGCTACCATTTCTGAAAGCTCATTCCTAATTGGATCCTATCGCACAGTCTATATTCTGATGGACCTATCACTGACCTCATCCATACAGTGGGTTCATGTGGGAGAGGTCAGGTTCCTGGATAGATCTGGAATGCCTCTGAAATTCTCAAGTATGTTTACAGTTGGTATAGACAGTCCAACTTGCCTTTAACCAACCCCTTCACCATCTCCAATAAATTAACTTTATTTCATTTCGCAGCTTTGCTATCCTCATCATCAACATCACGTGAGTTTTATGACAATACATATAGGTCATATTGTTCAAAATGGCTATGCAGTTGCTAAAGGAGTGCTACATACTTTGGCCCATGGTAATGTGGCAAGAGAGATCTAAACGTGGTGGCCAATGATCAGTTTACACAGTCAGGGCTTATGTTATCTTTAAGTCATATACTAGATGCAGATAATGATCATTACTGTAGCTTATTACTCTCTCCAATGCATAATCCATGTCCAACAAACAATGAGGACCTGTCAAGACTACCTCCCACTGGAGGGGCGAAGAGATTAAAATACAATACCAGTACTGATTACCTAACGTCCCTCTAGGTGTGGAGAACATTATTGTGACAAAGACTAGCTATGAGAAGCTGTCAACAATGGCAACATCTAGTGCAGGTAAGATATAAGCTAGCTAGCTATAGCCATTTAGTGAGCTCACTCTACATAGTATCTGTTCACATTATTTTGTAGCTAATATTGTGCCTACGTCAGTTCCTGGAGACAGAGAGAATGACAGTACATGTAGTGAGGAGTCCAGTGGCTCAGCTGTGATTGCTGTGTCAGCAGTATCTCTCCTGCTGATCCTCACTCTCACCACAGTCATCCTTACTCAATGTCTCCTCATTATCAGAATGAGGAGGTCTAGGAACAAGACTGAGACCTATGCAGAGGCCACTAACCCTACCACCAAGACAACTGATGTTCCTGTTTCTCCCAATGAGGCATATGCTCTGACCAAGATAACCAGCCCAAGGGAAGAGGTTACTTATGAGGTGGTGCAGTGACAGCAGAGTAAAGGTTTTAAACACAAGCATGAGAGTATAGCTTACTCAGTGGCTAAGTTTGTGTTTCGTTACAGAATAATGTAGTTTACTTTCATAGATACTGCTGGTCAATGCACTTTCACTAGTACAATGAAAAGCAATAAAGTGCAAACCCTCGGCGAACTGTGCATGCGCGGTATTGCTAATTGATGGGTTGGGCTATTATAGTGTTGTTTAAGGACCCATTCAAGTCCAGCGGAATCATGAGGATTAATTGGACACTGACAAAGAATAGAATGAGTATGCGTTTACTCGTGGTCTCTCGCTAGCTAGTAGCTCACGGAGAGTCTGACACGGGCTAGCTACAGTAGTAGATAGCATGCGGGAATCGATTGATACACGTTGTTTGTTGCGACTTCTTGTGCCTTCAACATCCAAGTACAAGCGGAACCGGTCGAGGTAGGCCTCTGCTAATTAGCATATTGGCTTGTTCACTTGGTTTTCACGTCATAACTTCAGAACGCGGCACTTTTACGAAAATCGCCATTTTAAAAACGAAGCCAGTGTAGCGCTGAACCCGTTGGTGTCGCTATTTTACCTGTTTGTTGCGCGTGGTGGCAGAAAATGTGGTAACAGACGGACAGACCAAGTACTGTAACCCTCGCTGCGCATGCGCACCGAGGGTTAATCACCCACAAAAGTGTTAGCTTGTTTGCACATGAACTGATGTGTATGAAAATGCTGACATAAGGAGACACTATTTTTGTTATTGAGCCCACATGTCACGTGTTGAATGCGGCCTTCGTGTGTTGAAAGCACAGCACTAGAAACAAGTCCACGTGAGTAGTATTGCAACGTGCATGAGATCTATTCAGAGGCCACTAACCCTACCACCAAGACAACTGATGTTCCTGTCTCTCCTAACGAATAATAGTGCAGGTCGGCTGACGATGCGCATGCTCTATTATAACCAACCTAAGGGAAGCGGTCAATAATGTTTAGAAGAAGAAGGGTATATAGTATAGTAGCAGAGTGATAAACACAGCACAACCACACTACTGTGGTTACCCAAGGGAATTATAAACTACAGTTGGAATAGCCTGTTGACATTGCAATGCCCACATTTCCATGGTAAGGGCATAGGTTGTAGAGGTGAAACCCCACCTCTACTATGTCCCACATGCTTCCTTAATAAAACCGAAACAAGTGGTTGCTTCCTATAGTAGAAGTCTAGTGTGTCAACAGGAGGCAGTCTTTTACTGGATCAGTCTCAAAGTGAAGATGAAGAGTGTGTCTGGTTTGTTGCTACTCAGTTTGAGTCTTTGTGGTACGTTTAACCTTAGGGAACTATAACTATGCTTGTTTTGTATCCCATGTGTAGCTGTTGCTGTGGGTCCACCAGTCCAGGTAGTACCTCAAGGAATAGAGTCAGTCAATGGATCTAATGTGGCAATTGGATGTACAAGTCCACTATTAGACAGTGATGGTGTGATGGTGTGTGGGTCACGAAGCTATCTGGTTGATGGTTGCTCTCCTGATATTGACACAAGTACCTCTGACTGGGCATCTCAGCTAGTGACAGTGAGGAGGAATGATGGAACTCCTGATATCACTTTCCCTCATGTTCTGCTGACATTTGGCTTTGACACAGCTGTGTCTCTGACTGGAATTGAAATGGACTTGTTCAACTGTTCTGACTGGAACATTAGTGCTCCATCTATCACAGTGTATCTCAATCAAGAGTACAACTTAGTACCACCTAACACCAGCATAATATTTGATAACTATCCATTTGTACGGACTAGTAAAAACTCCCTCCAGTCATCTTGTGAGTCTCTTTCAACTAGTAGTGTTACCTTTTCTGGAGGCAGCTATCTACCTGGATCCTATCGCACAGTCTATATTCTAGTGGACCTATCACACACCTCATCCATACAGTGGGTTCATGTGGGAGAGGTCAGGTTCCTGGATAGCTCTGGAATACCTCTGAATTTCTCAAGTATGTTTACAGTTTACTAGGAATGCACACATGTAGTCATGTACAAATACACCATTCTGTCCCCTGCACAGCTTTCACCTACCTTTTAGCCTTTCTCAATGTGAGTTCTCTTGGGTGTAGGTTTGCAGTTTGCATGCAAACACTCATGGTATTTTAATACAATGTATATACTTACCCTCGCTTATTACACAACATATGGATTTTTAGCTACACACTCCTAACCCTGAATCACTGAGTAATGAAAATTCCTAAGCATAACCAACAGCTATGTATGTTCGTATGCACATATGTATAGTGAGAATTGTCTAAGTAATAATTATCTTACACAGGTTCTGGAATGGATACCACTGCTAGCCCCTCCTCTGTTCAAACCAGCGTGACATCCAGTGAGTCTCCAGCTATAGTGCACAGTAGCTCTGACTTCACCACCTCCGCTTCTTCAACAGTGACTCAATCCAGTGAGTCTCCAGCTGTAGTTATTAACCCTCAGCGCGCATGCGTAGCGAGGGTTACTGTACTTGGTCTGTAAGTTTTGTCTGTCTGTTAGTCTGTCTACGTTTTCTGCAACCACGTGCAACGAGACAACGAAAGAGCCATACCAAAAAGTTCTGCACTATACTGTTTAAATTTGGCGATTTTCGTAAAAGCAGTGCGTTAGACAGTTATGGCGTGAAAACCAAGTTAAAAAGCCAATATGCTAATTAGTATTCCCTTACCTCTAGGAAGCGGAAAATAAACGCATGCGTTTGTTACACTGGCGGGTTGCACACATTTTTCACCGTAAATATATAGCACCGTTGAGCAGCCAGGGTTTCGTTTTTCTTGTGGGGGCAGCGCTCGAACAAACTTCTGGTCGTTTCTGGTACTTTTTTGAGCTGGCAATCAGCACTCGTACATTCCGCGCTTTGTATGCAGAGGGGGCTGACCGATGGAGAGCGATAGACGCCTGAAGAAGGTATGTCTGCAGTGTGACACAACAGTACATGCTAGACGGGCGGTTTGCGTACGTGGGAATACCTTTCCGTCAAAGAGAAAAGCGCAGTGTATTGCCAAAAAGGAGGCGATGAAATGTCAAAGAACTTTAGAGACTGAGGAAGAGAATTTTGCGAGAACAGAGCAAGACAGACTACGTAAACAGAGCACAAGGGCAACTAAAACATACGACCAAATTTCAGCCCGGCTATATAAGAAGTGACAGACAGCATAAATAAACCACAAGAGCCTCTGAAACAATTGAGCAGCCGTTGCACAGGCATGAATGTGACAGACAGCATAAAGAAACCACAAGAGCCTCTGAAACAATTGAGCAGACGTGGCACAGGCATGAACGTGACAGACAGCATAAAGAAACCACAAGAGCCTCTGAAACAATTGAGCAGACGTGGCACAGGCATGAACGTGACAGACAGCATAAAGAAACCACAAGAGCCTCTGAAACAATTGAGCAGACGTTGCACAGGCATGAACGTGACAGACTGCATAAAGCTATACTGCATACTTCTGATACTTGAGCTATTCCATGCCACCGAGGGTTTTGCACTTTAGTGCTTTTCATTACAAATGCACACACTCCAATAAAGCTCTCTTCATTTCGTGAGTTCTATGACAATTGTTAAGGCAGGGTTATTGACCAGCTGAACCATGCATTTGCTAAAGGAATGCTACATATTTTCGGCCCATGGTTAAGAGAGATTTAAATCTAAGCATGGTTGCTAAAACGACTTACACAGTTTGGGATTTGTTTTCTTTAAGGCAGATACTAGATGCAGATAATGATCATTACTGTAGCTCATTACTCGTCTCCAATGCATAATCAATGTCCAACAAACAATGAGGACCTGTCAAGCTATGTAGCTATTATAACCACTCACTTTACATGGCATCTGTTCACATTATTTTGTAGCTGAAATTGTGCGTACGTCAGTTCCTGGAGACAGAGAGAATGATAGTACATGTAGTGAGGAGTCCAGTGGCTCAGCTGTGATTGCTGTGTCAGCAGTATCTCTGCTGCTGATCCTCACTCTCACCACAGTCATCCTCACTCAATGTCTACTCATCTTCAGAATGAGGAGGTCTAGGAACAAGACTGAGACCTATGCAGATGCCACTAACCCCACCACCAAGACAACTGATGTTCCTGTCTCTCCTAATGAGGCATATGCTCTGACCAAGATAACCAGCCCAAGGGAAGAATTTACTTATGAGGTGGTGCAATGACGATGTTACTCACAAAACTAGCCTTGTTTGTGGGTAAGTTTAGAGACAATAGAAATAAATTTCTGTGTATGGGCATTGAACAGAAGTAGAGCTCTTATAATTAAAATTTAGACGCAGAGATTTTTGTGAAATGTGGGAACAGGAGGTGTGGACTACTGGAGTAGTTAAGTCTGTACGTACATTTGGGACACTGTGCAGTACAATTTACATGCATAGTGTGAGGGGATTCCTCTAGCTGTTTTCGATTGCTTAATTGACCATTATAATGGGCCTGTCGTCCAAACTACTTGCCGATCTCTGGCACGCTGTGCGAAATCCAAGTGTAAGCACACCTTGGATGCATTTACTGTGTGAAGTGTGTGACAGAAACAGACAATGCAGAATTA